TTTTTTTAATTATTTTTAGAGACAAACTCTCCCCGTTGCTGGACCGTAACTCCTGGGCTCAAGCGATCCTCCAGCCTTAGCTTCCTGGTGTTGGGATTATAGGCATGAGCCACCGTACCTGGCCCCAGTGAACATCTGGTTACACATTCTAGCTCTGGAGTTAGAGTACTCAGGGTCAAATTCTGGCTTTGATATTGATTAGCTGTGTGACCTTGAATAAGAGACTTAACCTCTCTGATCCTCTGTTTCTCAATCCATAAAACGAGGGAAATAGTAGTAACTGCTGCACAGGGCTCTTGTGAGAAGTAAGTGAGGTAATTCTGATACAGCGATTAGCCCTTGTTTTTATTCTATGGTAAGAGAGATTGGGTGGGTGCAGTGGCTCATGTTTATAATCTCAGCACTTTGGGAGGCTGAGGCAGGAGGATTGCATGAGGCCAGGAGTTCAAGACCAGCCTGGGCAACATAGTGAGACCCCTGTCTCTACAAAAATTAAAATACAAAAAAGAGAGAACTAGCTATGGAAAGCAACCCCTCATCATGCACCTGCTATGTGTCAGCATCCGTTAAATGAGTTAGCCACATTTAGGACGTCAGGTTAACCTCCTGACCACTCTGCCAAAAGGGCATGATGGTTCCTGTCACAGGAGAGCCAGCAGCAGTGAAATGCAGAAGTGAAGCCATTGGGTTCCAGCTGCACAGCTGGCAGAGGGGAAGGTGAACCCAGCAGTGCCGTGACCACGCCACGCTCTTCCTGAGCGGGCCAGGATGGGTTGTGATACGCTTCCCATAAGCACAGCGCTGCAGAGACATCTCAGGAAGGAGGCATCCCACCCAGCTGGGGCGTGGGCTCCCATGGTGTCCCACGCAGTTTGTGTGTTCCTAAGCGTGTCTGGACCCGGGTCTGTGTTGCATGCACCTGCGCTCCCAGCATCTCTCTGTCACCCGCTGCACCCTGCTCCTCTCCTCTCTTTCTCTTTCCCCTGGGTCAGAAAGAACAACCAAACATCCCCCTCTCCCACCACGGTGACCTCTTGGCTTCATCTTTTCTCCCTTGGGGTGATAATGATATTTTCTCATTGTAATTTAACTTGGGTGGGGGATGATCTTTCTTTTTCCCAGTCTTCCCGCCTGTCTCCCTCATTGAGGCACAGAAATAGTCCCAGCTGTGAGATGAAGGTTGCAGGGTTTAAAATTGCAACTTGGTACTATTTATACTCCAGCCTGAAAGATGTTTTTTTGCGCAGTCGTTTATTTTGTTGTGGTGGAGATGGCTCATGCTGGAGGCAGCAGGAACTGGTGCTGTATAAACAGTTCTCTGGGGACAAGTGGGTGGCGAGGGAGCCTTCAGGTGCAGGGGGCGGGGACTAGGCCTGCCCAGAAATCCTAAGCATGCCTCCCTGGTGCAGGACGGTGTGGCCTGGTAGGCAGAGAAAGCGGATCACGTGCTGGTGAACTTTCTGCCTGAACGCCTGGACATTACAAAAATAACAACAGAAACTGGTATTTTAGAAGTCATAAAAGTAGTACATACTTGAGGGAAAAGAAAGACCTAATTTTTTTTTTTTTTTTTTTTTTTTTTTTTGAGATGGAGTCTTGCTCTGTCTCCCAGGCTAGAGTGCAGTGGCTTGATCTCTGCTCACCACAACCTCTGCCTTCCGGGTTCAAGCAGTCCTCCCGCCTCAGCCTCCTGAGTAGCTGAGACTACAGATGTGTGCCACCATGCCCAGCTAATTTTTGTATTTTCAGTAGAGACGGGGTTTTGCCATGTTGGTCAGGCTGGTCTCAAACTCCTGACCTCAGGTGATCCACCTGCCTCGACCTCCCAATGTGCTGGGATTCCAGGCATGAGCCACTGCACCTGGCCAAGCCCCTAATTTTTACACAAGTGCATGAAGCAGTTGTATACTGGCAGGCCCTTTGCACGTTCGTGATTGGCTTCATTTGTGAAGCATTAAAGGTTTTGTTTTTTTAAAAATGTGTTCCAATGTTTAAACACTGGGGCATTGCCTATTAGAATTTTCCACTTCTCTTGGAAGATGGAAAGATCTGGCAGCCCCAGGCCTGCGTTTCCTGATGGCGGCTAGTGGCCAGCAGCTGGAGGACTGGATGGGCACCCCTCAGATCACTACAAGCCCGATGGCCTGCTTCACTCATTTATGTTCTTGTCCAGCCTAGTAACTGGGTTTATTTTTTTTTTTCGTCTTTTTTTTTTTTTTTTTTTGTTTTTGTTTTTTTTGAGACGGAGTTTCGCTCTTGTTACCCAGGCTG